CCCGGGAGCGACCTCTGCCTTCCCCCGGAGTGACCTGTGCCCTCCCCGGGAGCGACCTCTGCCTTCCCCGGGAGCGACCTCTGCCTTCCCCCGGAGTGACCTGTGCCCTCCCCGGGAGCGACCTCTGCCTTCCCCGGGAGCGACCTCTGCCTTCCCCAGGAATGACCTGTGCCCTCCCCGGGAGCGACCTCTGCCTTCCCCGGGAGCGACCTCTGCCTTCCCCAGAGTGCCCTGTGACTTTCCCAGGAGTGCCCTGTGCCCTCCCCAGGAATGACCTGTGCCCTCTCCAGCAGTGATCTCCATGCCTTCGCCGGGAATGACCGGTGTCCTCCCTGTGGGAAAAATTCCTCTTTTAAATTTAGAAAGACGGCATAAAGTCATGAAACTAAAGAATTTATTCAGCGTGCCGGGTCTAGTCTCACACCGAGTTTTTCGGGGAGAAATACCCTTTGGATTTAAATACCACACATTTTATAGTTCCACCCTTATTCAGATAAGTTTAATATATTCATTTTTGCCTAAAAAGGTTTCTTTTCTCTGAAAAGGGACATTACCTTTCTTCTGATTGGCTGCAAGGTGTCCTCTTTCTAAAACAATGGATCTTCCTTTGTTCTTAGCCCAAAGAGAGAGAAGAAACCCCTGTGTACAAAACTTCCACATGGCCTTTAAAGATTTTAATTTTTAAGAACTTTTATATTTCTCTTATCTGGCCGAAAAAGACCCTGACACCCAGTTCCATTTGGAACTTGGATATCTTGCAACTTCACGATGCACCTATGTATATAAAAATTGTATTTTACCTCTCATATCCCCAGGTCCCACAGACAGTATTTCACACACGCTCCCCCCTCCCAGCCCCAAAATCAGCACTGCTGAAGCTGTTATTTGTTTTAAATAAAACAAAATCCTCGCAAATCTGCTGTTTCATTTAACAGGAAAAACCCAACACAGTCTTTTGGTCTCTAGAAAAGTCTGTTACTCTTTCTGTTTGTTTGTTTGAGAGGTTTGTTTTTTTTTTTAGTTCTATAATGTGTTGAGCAGGTGCCTGGATGTGGCACCAGGTGATGTAGTTTAGGGGTTACAGTGGTGGTGGTGCTGGGCTGATGGTTGGGCTGGATGGTCTTGAAGGTGTTTTCCAGCCTTGATGATCCCATGAATGTCTTCAGAACAATGGACTTCTCAAGCAGTAATTGAAGAATTGGTGGCAGCATTGTCTTAAAGGCCTGTGGAGGTGAGAAATGATTTTATACTTGCTTCAGGAGATACCCAGAAGGCTAAAGCACAGGAATATAGAGCTTTAATGGCAATGTGACAGTAACAGTAAGTAGGCTGTCCCATTTTCTGTTTTTCCATCTGACCATTAAAGAAAACCATTATAAATTCCATGTTTATTGCTTGAGTCATACATTGGCTCAGTGATGACAAAGAGACTGTGAGGAGCTATCATTCAAGAAGGCTTCAATAAGGCTGCTTCTTCTGACTGGTGTTGCTTAGGATGAAATGTGTGGAGTTAATGAAGGGGAATAATTCACGAGAGGAGATACTCGAGATACAGGTTGTGACATCAATTTGTACTAAATAAATATAGGAAGAGCAGTGAGGTGTGTGTATTCACTTTTTCAGAGTTAGTGTCAATCTGTGAGGCCGATTGTATAGGTATAGGTTCAGGGTTCAGGTTATCTGGGAATTACTTGTAACAAGTCTGCCATCCATGGATTTAGACAGGTTTTGGTTGATCAGTTAGCTTTTATCTATGTAAATGGAATGGTGCCTAATGAGGGAGAACTTTGGGGTTTAGAGTAAAAGGATTTTAGATATGACAGATGAAAGGTAACAGGATCATGAGCTAGACTAAATGTGGTAAAAATATTCTCATATATTCTGGTAATACTGGACAGCAATTTAAATTTATTTCTCTGCCAATGCAGGTTGACTCCATATGCCATTTTCATTCATAAGGGCATCTGGAATCTGTCAGAGCTTGTGCTACAGAGGAATATGTATGTCAAGGTAATTTTTAATGGATTTTGTGTTGAAGAGTAGCTGAAGTCATACTCTCTGTACCCAAATTTGTTGTTCTCACTAAGTTTCAGTGTGTGCCTCAGTTCACTTGTGTGTAAAAACTGTATAAAGCAGTAGTGACATACATCATCATTTCAAAATTGCTGTGTCTTCCTGTTGCCCTGATTTCCAGAGTTTGAAGCAGTGACAGATTTGTTTCTGATCTGCAAAAAACATTGAGATAGACTCAGAAGAAAGATGATATTGGAACAGCATTCAATACATCATAAATTCCAGGGAGCTCGGCTCAAATTTCCAAGGTAATCAAGCAAAAATTTTTACAGGAGAGGACTACATGAGAAAGCACATATAAGTATTTTGATAGTTTTTTTCTGCCAGAAGCTTGGGAGTTTAAGTTTTTCATAACTTTGCCTGTCATGTGAACACCATAGTTTTAAGACCTTACACCTTATCCATAGAAAACTTCCAAAAATCATTTTACTGGTCTAGAAACCAGCAAAATGCTGGGAAGGGTCAGCAACTTGATTTAATTTCTTCACTCAAAGCAAGTTTGAGGATGCTGTTAAATTGTTTTTTTTTATTAAAGTGAAGCAGATTAAGATACTCTACTACTACAGAATCACTATCTCATGAAGTGTCTCTTCTAAACTTAAGTGTTAAATGGAAATAAAATGTGCATTTTTGGCATATTTGACAAGGAAACCAGCATCTAATGTAGTTTATATTCTAGAAATCCTATTTCTTTTCTTTAAAGTTTTTAGGGAAACATCTCTCTGTGTCTAGCTCCTAACAAACGTACTGGAACACTAAATAGGCAGAGATGTTGTCTGCTTTGAGTTTTTTTACTATTTTCTTTTAAAATATTTTCGTGTACTCTTTCAAAAACATAAAGTCAGAGATACAGAGAATGATTGTAGCAGGGAAAGGAGGCAGAAAAAGTTTGACAGTTTTGGTATGGACCATTTCACCTAAATGGAAAAAAGAAAACCTTCCGTGGAATATCCCAGTAAATTCAGTGTGAAGGGGCAAAATTCTGTGTAAGGAGCAGTTCAGGCATAAGAAATAGGGAGACTCAAGGCAGAAAGGGGACTGTATCACTAGAAAGGATTATTTTGAGTTACTAGGCTCTTTTTAATAAGAAATAAAGATTTGATGAGAGAAATAGGTGACAATTTTGGTTGAAATGCTAAGATGTGTTTGGAAGCTACCACTCTTATAGCTTGTATATTCCCTTATGCTGTGGGAATCACCAGCTCAGAGGACTTCTTTCTTTTGTGACTGAACATACACTCTGAGAGCAAATATTAGCCTGTTTAAATATTGCTTGTGGAACAAAAACATAAGCTTGTAGAAGAGTGAAAGAAAAGGACCTTAGAGAATTTATTTTATTGCCATTAAATTTACGTTGTCCAACTGGTCTTTTCTTTTGTGTTGCCAGTTGTTGTCTTTACAAAGACCTACAGGCTCATTTGAATGACACCTAAATAAATACATTTTATTACAAATATGGGTAAGTGCTTTTGCCCACACAAACTCAAGCACAAGCAAAAAGACATTCACTAAAACACAATGTTGTAAATAAGTACCCTACATGAGCTTTTCCTTGTAGAAAATGTGATGCCAAGTGCTGCCTTTTATCTAAAAGTCATGAACTAATGTCTTGGTGCCAACAGAACTGTTTATTTCACACCAAATTTTTAAGTTGTCAAAAGTCTGGATATCATCATAAAACTAATGGACATCTTAAAAAGTACCTTGGGATATTTTGTAGCATGCTGATAAGTTTTTTTTTTTTTGTAAGATATGGGTATAAGAGTATGAAAATACTGGCTTAAATTACTTTCTGGCTGGGTTGTTGTTTGTTTTTATTCTAATTTGGCAATGTTATAAAGACTTGATTATTTTAAAAATTTGCATTTAAACTTTGACACACACTGTTGAATATTTGGATTCATATCATGCTGCAGTTTTTGCATAATAGAAATAATAGAAATTCTGTCAGGTAGAAAAAAAATAAAATCCCCTTCAGTAATTTGGTTCTTGCTGTGTCACGATGAGAATCATCTACTTTACTGGCATCTGACTTTGGAATGCCTCTTTGGGAATCTTCTGCCCTTTCCCGGCTGATTCCTTGGTAGTCTTTATAAATTTATTGCCTGGAACATTCTGTCTGTCTACTCAGTGAGATCTTCCCTTTTTTTTGTGTTGAGGAGGATTTTGGCTGCTGCTTCCAGTCTGCCCCTCTTGTTTGAGCAGCTTCACAGATGATGTGGCATCACCCTGTTGCTGCACTGTGCTCTTTGCTTTGGGCCTGAAGAGAACGTGCTCAGAAACATGGATGTCTGCTGCCCTTTGGAATTGGTGCAGGCACTGTTTGCCAGGTTTGTATCTCATTAGGAAGTCCTAGCAGACAGCATTTTATTCTAACATTTGTGTCTCG